TTCATATAATAAGGACTTGGTGATGATGAACTCCTTTAAGTTGACCTTATCTGAGAAGCACTTTATCCGCCCTTCCATTCTAAATGAAAGCTTTGCTAGATAGAGCAATCTTGGATGTAGGTCCTTGCCTTTCATGACTTGAAATACTTCTTTCTAGCCCCTTCTTGCCTGCAAGGTCTCTTTTGAGAAAACAGCCTACAGTCTGATGAGAACCCCTTTGTAGGTAACTGTCTCCTTATCTCTTGCTGTTTCTAGGATTCTCTCTTTCATTTTAATCTTGGGTAATGTAATTATGATGTGCCTTGGTGTGTTCCTCCGTGGGTCCAACTTGTTTGGGACTGTCTGAGCTCTCTGGACTTCCTGGAAGTCTATTTCCTTTGCCAGATTGGGGAAGTTCTCCTTCACTATTTGTTCAAATAACTTTTCCACTTGTTGCTCTTCCTCTACCCCTTCTGGTACCCCTATAATCCCATTTTGGAATGTTTAAAGATGTCCTGGAGGTTCCTAAACCTCTCCTTGTTTTTTTTTGAATTGTTGTTTCTTTCTTCCTTCTGGTTCACTCCATTGATTTGAGTGCAGTTTCCTTCCCACCACTCTTGGTTCCCTATACATTTTCGTTTACTTCACTTAGTGTAGCCTTCATTTGTTCATCTAATTTGCAACCAAATTCTATCAATTCTGTGAGCATCCTGATCACCAGTGCTTTGAACTGTGCATCTGATAGTTTGGTTATCTCTTTGTCTCTTAGTTGTGTTTGTTCTGGAGCTTTGATCTGTTCTTTCCTTTGGGCCATTTTTTTTTCTTGATGAGCCTGTTATGTAGTGAGGGGCAGAGCCTTAGGTATTCACCTGGGCAAGGCAACCCAGTTGCTGGGTTGTGACCCAGTATGTGGGGCAGGGGTCTGAGACAGAGCAATGACGCTTGCTTTGCTCTCTGCTGGATTTCAGTCACTTCCCCTGCTGACCCCAAGCAAACCGGGCCCTTCTGGTGCTGATTCCCCGGGGGGTGGGTTTGTGTACATTCTAGGACGCTCCAGCGAAGTCTCCTGTGAGGCTGGGAGTCTCTCCCAGCACCTCAAGCCTCACAGGCATTTTCAATCAGTGTTTTGAGGCTTTAATTCCCCAAGGTAGAACCCTGGGTTGGGTGGTCTGCGTTGCTCCCCAGTTTTGCCTGGTGATCTGTACAAGAATATGGGACCACCTGGGCTGCCAGCCACCTTGCGTGCTGCGTCTATCCACAGTCCGCCACCTCGCTGGGTCCGCGTGCTGCTGCCTTGTGTGCCCGGGTCTGCCAGCCACCACTTTGCCACGAGTCCCCTCCACCCGGCTTCCCATCACTGCCCCTCCTACTGGTCTGGATGAATGTTTCTTCTTTAACTCCTTGGTTATTGGACCTCCATACAGTTCAATTTTCTGTCAGTTCTGGTTGTTTTTTGTTTTTAAATTGTTGTTGTCCTTCTTTTGGTTGTGTGAGGAGGCATAGTGTATCTACCTTTGCCTCCATCTTGGCCGCGCAGGATGCTTTTTCTGTTCTTTTACTTTCTACTTACCTATATCATTATATTTGAAATTCTTGTGGACAACATATTTATAATCCAGTCTGCCAATCTGTTTTTAATTGCCATACGTAGACCACTTATATTTAATAATTATGAATGTATTAAGGCTTGTGTCTGCCATTTTATCTTTTGTTTTATGTTTGTTTTTTTGTTTCTTTGTGTTCTTTTCTTTCTTTTCTGTGGTTAGCTTACCTTTTGATTTATCTGTAGTTTTTTTAGTGTGTCTTTGTGTGGCTTTTTTAGTAGTGGCTCTAGGTATTACATTACATATACGTAACTTATCACAGTCTATTGGTGTAATTATTTACCTATTTGCATACAACCTATCAAAATCCTCCACCAATTATAGTATAATTGTATTTAAAATTTCCTCTACATACATTTAGAACTACATCACACAATGTATAAGTTTAGCTTTGACCATCACATAATTTAGAAAACTCAAGAGGAGAAAGAAAGACTATTGTATTTACCATTTTTGCTCACCATGTTCTTTCTTCCTTTCTTATATATCGAGGTAATTTTCTTTACCAATTTTTTTTAGCTTAGAAACCTTCCTTTAGCAACAGCTAATAACGCTTTTGGTTGGTTTTTCTTTATCTGAGAATATCTTGATTTCTTCTTCATTCCTGAAGTATATTCTCTCTGGGTATAGGATCTTAGATTGACAGTTATTTTCTTTCAGCACTTGAAAAATAGTGTTCTCCTTCCTTCTCTTTTACATGGTGTCTCAAAGAAACCCCTAATTCCAAGTGTTCCCCCCATTAGTAAGGTATCGCTTCTCTCTCACTGTTGTCAAGATTATCTTTGTCTTTGGTTTATAGAAGTTTGACTGTGAATGTTGGTGAGTGTTTCTTTGTGTTTATCCTGTTTGGGGTTTGCTCAGCTTGTTCAGTATGTAGGTTTATGTGTTTTGCTAAATTTGGAAAGTTTTCAGCCATTACTTCTTTGAGTATTTTTTCAGCACTACCTTCTTCTCTTTTTCTGGGACTCTGATGACATAAATATTTAATCTTCTATTGCAGTCTTACAGGACCCTGAGACTGTTTATTTATTTGTTTGATATGTTTTTTTCTCTGTTATTCCGACCAAGAAATTTTTATTGTTGTTTCCTTTCAGTTCCTTGATATTTTCCTTTTTATTGTTTTCTCTGTTATTCTGACCAAGAAATTTTTATTGTGTTTCCTTTCAGTTCCTTGATATTTTCTTTTGCCTCCTCCATTCTGCAGTTGAACTCATTCACTGGGATTTTTAAATTTAGATTATCAGATTTTTCAGCTCTAAATTTTTCTTTTTTTAAAATTTTTTTTAGATTTTATTTATTTATTTTTAGAGAGGGAAGGGAGGGAGAGAGAGAGAGAGAGTGGGGGGCGGGGAGAAACATAAATGTGCAGTTGCTGGGGGTTATGGCCTGCAACCCAGGCATGTACCCTGGCTGGGAATCGAACCTGGGACACTTAAATTTTTCATTTCATGCTTCTTTATACCTTCTTTTCTGACACTTTCTGTTTTTGTTTCAAATATGTTCATAATTGTTCATAGAAGCATTTGTATAGTGAATGTTTAAAGCCTTTGTCAGATAATTCTAACATCTCTCCTCCTCCTGTTGACACATTGATTGTCTTTTTTCACTTAATTTGAGGTTTTTCTGGCTCTTGGTATAATGAGTAATTTTTTATCAAAGCCTGGATATTGTGACTATTATATTATGAGACTCTGGATATTATTTAAACTTGCTCTTTTAGCTGGCTTTATCCAAACCCAGCAGGGTAAGGTAGAATTTTGTTATTGCCAAGTAGAAGTAGAAACCTAGGTTTCCTGCTCAGCCTTCCTTGTCCCCACTCCCTCAGGAACGGAGTGCTCTCCACATCACTGCTGGGTGGGAGTGGGAATTCTGGCTCCCCAGTAGGCCATCTCTGATACCTCTCTGGCTGGGAGGGTTAGGAGTACCTCATTATTGCTTCCCACTTGGCTTCCATTAACACCATGGGAGAGGGTGGCCTCGTGACCACGGGGTGCTGGTGGTGAAGTCCTGACTTCCCACTGGGCTCCTGGTGGCACCACCTCCATGGGGAGGGGAGGGACACTTTGTTACCACCAAGTGAGGGTGATGGCCAGACTACCCCTGCAGTTTCAATTGTCACTGCCTAGCAGTGATGAATGTCCCAGCTCTGTGTTCATCTCTCTGGCACTTGTGCCCTGGCTGTGGGGCAGGAGGTGGGTGGGATGCCCTGTCATAGCCTGGAGAGGGTGGCTACACCCTACTCCCTGTTCAGCCTTTGCTTGTGTGGGTGGGCTAGGAAAACAGTTTTTTTCTGTAGTGTTTGGCTGGAATGAGCAGTTATTGTCTGTAAATAACTCACTTTCCTGGTTCTTCGACTACAGAGACCAGGCTTTTGTTTGTTGTTTTGTCTGCAACCATTGGTATTTCAGGTCACAGCCACTTTGGCTCCAAGTTTGGAATATGGGAAGCAAAAGATCCCTACTACTCCATTCGTTGGGTCTGGAGGTTCCTAGCCAGTCTACCTGTTAACTCTGCCTTGCAGTTTCCTTATGTTTGTTTTATATATAATGCCTCAGGTTTTGTTTATACTTAGAGGAATGGGTAAAATGTTTACTCCATATTCCTAGAAGCAGGAATCCTGTCACTGATTTGTAAATATGTCATTCTTTCTTTGGTATTTTGTATACATTACCATATTTGATAGTTGCAGTCATTTGGACTCTATGTATGTATTACATCTTTCTCTGCACTCTTAGTCTTGATGATTTGTTTTCATGTGAATTGGCCATTTGTGTGTGTGAGTGTTTGTGAGAAGGAGCATGAGCACGAGGAGGAGCACGTGTGTGAGAGAAATCACTGACTGAGCCTTATCTCCGAGCACCTCGAGGCACTAAGTTGGGAATGCTTCTCTCCAGAGAAGACTTGCATTTTCCTCTGATGTGAGGCTGGGGTTGCTCACAGAGCAGGACCGCTTCAGCCAGCATCCAGGTTCTTTCCCTGAATGTGTTCATCTCAAAGTCAAGCTCCTTGCTGGCTGGTGGGCCTTACACTGGTTGCCAGAATTGGTGCTGTCATTCTCATTTGCCACCAGGACTCAGTGCTGCCTCTGTGTTTGCAGGTTTTCATGTTTGGGGTGCAGGAGGGAGAACCTGCTTACTGCTGTTACTTAAAAAAAAGTCTGGGAAGAATAGAAATGCTTGTTTTCCTTCATCCAGGTTTCAGTCTGTGTCAGGAGATGCTTCAGAGTTTCTTGTTTGCAGTTATTTTAAGGTCCTTGGTAAATTTCAGGATTTTTTATATTTTCTCTTAGAAATTTTTGCTCCTGATATCTGTTTTTCTAATTGCTCCATCAGTAGAGACAGTGGGGAGTTAACTATGAGACTGTGTTCCTAGTTTTGTCTTGTTTTTGACTGATATGTTTCTCATTTTTCTCTTTAGGGCAGAAAAGACTGAAGTTCTGAGTGAAGACCTTCTTCAGGTAAGGGTGGTGCTGGCCCTTTGCGGATAGACAACAAGATATCATCCCTTTTAAAACCAAGCCATTCCCAATGTTGTTTCAACTGTCCCAGCTATCCTCACCCAAATCTATTTAGACACACAACTTTGTATCGTTTACAACAGAGCTTTGCATTTTGAATACCAGGTTGGGTGAGATTTTTTAGGGGACATTTAAAGTCATTGCATTGCACGGTTAGCAGTAAGTCCCATAGTCTGAGTCCCTTCCCCTTCCAGCCCTCCAGAATCGGGTATTGTCTCCCCAGAGGTCCTCACCTTTGCAGAAACATGGGTCAGGCACTCTTCCACGTTGTTCAGACCTGTGATCTCACTCCCCACCCTATCCTTACCCAGCACTGTCACCCACTGCTCTCTCTGCAGGTGGAGAAGCGGCTGGAGCTGGTGAAGCAGGTGTCCCACAGCACACACAAGAAGCTCACCGCCTGTCTGCAGGGCCAGCAAGGTGCAGAGGCTGACAAGCGCTCAGTAAGTGCCCTCCTTGCCCCAGGCAGTTGAAAATTTGCCTACTGATGACTGGGGTCCCACACTTGGGGCCATGTTTTGGTGTGGCTGTTTACACAGCCACTTCTATGTCTGAGAATCGACTCTGATCCTATAGTTCTACAGTGTGACAGCCCCTGCCTGACCTTGAACCCTGACTGAAACATCCTGTGCCTTCACCAAGCAAGGTGCAATTTCTCCCCTCGCCCTCCTCCATCTGGAGCTACCTGGAGGCTTACAGAGGCGAGCTTGAGATCCCATTGTTAGAGAGGCTTTTAACCTCGCGCCAACCCCTGCTTCAGCTCATTCACAGATTCCACATGCAGATGGAATAACATTCCACAGATCAATAACATCTTAAGATTTCATGGAAAAAATTATACTGCACTTTTGGAGGTTATAAGTCACCTAAAAAGGCCCTTGAAAATTGTTTTTGCTATAATGAAACAGTGTAGGAAGCATGCTAAACTGGTGTACTCTAATGTCTTCGTATCTAGCCCACTTTAGTAATAACAGGTGGTGCATAATGTGATTCTGTTGGATAGTCCCTGGTGCAAACAGAGGTTGCCAGTTCTCCTCTTGCCCTAAGCCCCCTAATTCCCACCAAAGATGAACAGATATTCTTAGACGTTTCCTTGGCTTTACAACAGGAAATAGGCAGTCTAGGAGGTTTTTTCTTTTTCCCCATAAACAATCATTTACAAGCGGTATGTTTGATATCTGAGTTTTTCCTGACCCAGAGTTACTGTTGACTTTTCATTTCCTGGTGGTCTCCAGAGCACCCCCTGCACACACACCATTTGGTGGCCCATTTCTGTTGACTGTCATGTAACGTGCCCTGCCTGACACTTTGTCACACCTCATGCTGCAGTACCAGGACCTGCTCCATGGGCCCTATCAGCCATTCCATTTTCTTCCCAGCCTGCTTTTATTTTTCCTAACATTCCCAGCAGGAATCACGTATTTGTGGTAGAAATAAACTGTTCACAGCTTTGAACAATGTCTGTGAAAACAGTTCCGCATCTATCAGGAGTTTCAGCGAAGAAACCTGGACAGTCTAAAGGGGGAGTTTGCAAAATAGTCTTGGACATGAAACCCTTCAGTCACAGAACCCTCTAGTGTAAGACTCCAGGAGTGCCTGTGGGTGGGGCCCGCAGCCAGGCCTGCCTGTGACCCACCTCCTTTGTTCCATGAAGCACTGTGTTTAAAGTAACCCATCTTCTACAGTACAGTACTTCTTGGTACCAAGAGTGGTGTCTGAATGTTACCTCCTGAGGCTTGAAGCTGGCCTTTGGTATTGATGACCACTACATTATGTTTCTGGGATAAGGTACAGTTGCCTATATTTGCAGAGACTTCACTGGAGTGAGGGTCTTACAAGTTACCTGAGTCAGGAGGCATTTAGCTACCTGAGCTACAGGAGGCTGGCAGGTCAGGGGAAGATCAACTCTGAAAGGGCAATTTGTTACATTTCCACAGAGGAGAGGGTGCACCATGCTGCTTAGGGCCACCCTGAGAAGCACCCAGGGCAGTCAGGAGGCAGAGGGAGGAAAACGTGGGTAATAGCCTTTATTGCAGTTTCCAGGGGAAGAAACTGGTGAGGCAGGGTAAGCAGGCATATGATGGGCTAGATTGAATAACTTCAGCAGGCTGTGGGACACAGGGGTGTCCTTGTCTGGAATTTGGGGTGATTAGGGCAGGTGGAGGATGGCCTGGAGTGTGAGAGCTCCTGAAAGAGGTGGTTGGGGTGTGGGCCCAGGATTGGTTGATTTGCATTTGAAAGGCACACTCAAGAGAGAGTTAGTTACTATATCTAGGAATGGCTAACCCTGGGAGGGGCAGTCCTCCAGGGATAGCAAGGCCCCCTGATGTCAAAGCCTCAGAATGTAAAAAATAAAAAACATAGTTAATTAAATACACTGATTAATAGTGAGTAACTTCAGCAAAAAGGCACTTAGTATCTTTCCTATCTTTCTGAAGTAGTTGACCCCAGGTTTGTTTGTCAGCTTTGGTTCAGAATCCCTGCAATGCTTGGACTTGCCCTTATAGTCACAATGTGGCTGCTACAGCTCCAGGCATCCTGTCCACACATAACCACATCAAAGGCAGGAAGTGTGAGGGTGGTGAGAGAATTCTTCATCAGGGAGAAACAAATCTTGCCCAGGACATTTTCTTCTATGTCTCCCTACCCATCTGCAAGGGAGGCTGAGAGGTGAGTATGCATCAGAGAGAAATGGGTTTGTAATGACTGTCTATGATTCACCTGCTGGAACACACACAGGTGGGCTTCTGTAAGCAGGGAAGACAGGCTTGTGCCTGGCCAGGCCCTGAAGGCTACAGCCTCGGACAGAGATTAACATAGAAACTAGGCACCTGTTCAGCTGACCTGGAAGAAGTCTGTGGTGGAAGTAGGCACGTACAGACCAGTGGTTTCACCTCACAGATTTCAAGTGCTTCATTTTATCGGTGATTTCTTGACCTGATTAGTCTTTTTTTTATCCACCTCTGATTGAATAAATGATCTGGCTGAAAAGAAAATCAAAGAGCTACTTAAAATATTTAATGATCACAGATTAGCAGGGAAAAAATTTCCAAGGCTAAATTTTTCAGGTTTTTTTACAGTGATACTTTGAGAGATGTAATAAGAACATGTTATTAATTTCCTCAAATGCTGAATATATGCCTAGTTCTCTGTGATTATTTGGTAAGGAGATGGGCCCAGATCTAAGGAATGGGTGAAAAGGAAAAGGGATAAAAAGGGGAAACTAACTCATAGACACAGACAACAGCATGGTGGTTACCAGAGGGGAGGGGTTCCTGGGTAGTAAAGGCTGAAGCGGGCCAAGTCTAGGGCGATGGAAGATGATTTGACTTTGGGTGGTGGAAACACAATACAGTGTGCAGATCATGTATTGGAAATGTACACTTGAAACATGCATGATGTTATTAACCAGTGTCACCCCAGTAAATGCAATAAAAATAAAGTGAATAAAGAGGGAAACAGAGAGAGAGAGAGGACAGGAAGAGTGGTGGCGGTGATAGAACAAGTGAGCAAACACCAGCCAGGGCAGCCGGGCGTTGGAGAGGGTCCGGGGTCGGCCATTCTCAGAGGATGTGGGGCCGGCTGAAGTGAGCAGGTGGGGTCAGAGAGTCTCCTGGCTGGAAGGCGCTCGAACAGGGTGGAGGCAGTATTCTGCATTTTATTTGAGCACCTGTAAGTTGTTGCTTTTCACCATTTCTGTTTTAACAAGCTCATCACCTCTCTATCAGTTTAGTTTCCAATACTAAAACTTTTACCATACACTTTTACAGGTTTAGCCTGGAAAGCCAGGGCTGGCTGCCACATGGGGGTGAGCCAAGAAGCGGGGTTTTGTTGCCACTAACTTAGTGACCAGAGCAGTATTAGATGGTGGGTACTGATTTAAACCGGATTCCTTATGTGGGGTGGTGAATAGAAAGGATATGACTTAGTTTTCAAACTTGTCTTCTTTCTCCAGGCTAATAGCTTGTTGATTCATAGATTTTTAAAGATACTTGATGTAACACATTTTTTTATTGTTCTCCATCCTTGCATTTCTCAAAGGGAAGTCACATTCAACAAATACACTATTCGATGGATAAGTATTTCTCTACCTTACGCAACAAACACTTGGCAAGTACCAAGTCTGGCATGCAAAGTAGAACACATGCCAAGTTCTGAGCATATTCAGCAGGACCCCTTTCCTCTGTGAGCTCAGGGTCTGGAAGGAAGCAGCATCACACACCCAAGAGGTCATTAGTTACACAAATCATGAGGGAGCGGCCCTGAGGGACAAGCAAAAGACTGTAGCACCAAAGGCATAAACATGCCTGGGGCAGGGGATGTCAAGTGGGGGTTTCCCAGAGGCACAAAGGAGCTTGACATTTCTGAGATACGGGAAGGTGGCCGGAGTGACTAGAGTAGAGAGAGTGACAAGGACAGGGGCAGAGATGGGACTACAGGGACCCAATCTCACTGTGTAGGCCATGGTGAGGATTTGGATTTCATCCCTCAGAGCAGGGAGAAGCCAGTGTTTGAATGATTGGATTCAGTAGCATGATTGGATGTGTTGGCAATTGTGTGCAGAATGGATCAGTGGGGCAAAGGCTGTGGCAGAAGTAAGGACAGTTAGATATGCGAGTAGGGGAGACACAGTGGGGGCAGTGGGCCAGCAAGGAGGGACAGAACTACCACCTGTGGTGGGTATGGAGTGCAGGGTATGGAGGACTTGGCAACTGAATGGACATGTATGAGGAATGGAGAGCCATTTCAGGGTGTGGCTTGAGTGACTGCTGAGTCCATGGGAGTCGGTGAGATTACCTGGGGAGAAAATATAGGGTGAGAAGACAAATGGTCCTTAAATCAAGAACCTTAGGAACTGCAGTATCTTAAGCTGTCACAGAAGGAGTATCCAGCCAAGAAAATCAGAAGTCAAGAATGGTACTGGAAATCCACCTACCTGCTCAAATCTAAATCTCAGACATCGTCCCTCATTTCTTCTTCCCTCTCCATGCCCCTAGTCTTTCACCAAGTCCTGCTGGCTCCTCCTCCATGTGCTCCAACGTTTACCACGCCAGTCCTTGCAGCTGTCACCTCTGCCTGAGCACAGCAGTTCCTAGCAGGTATTGGCTCTCCACCTGAGCCCACCCGCCTCAGAACCCATTCTCTACAACCTGAGTGACTGTTTAAGATGGGGACCAGATAATGCCACTCTCCTGCTTGAATCCTACCTACCAAAGGATTCCCCCCATATAACAAATCCAGGCTCATTACCTTGGCCCTGGGACCCTAATGAAATGTCTTCACCTGCATCTTGCGGTTCAGCTCTTGCTCCCCTCCCCCTCATTCATCATTCTTTAGCTGCACTTCGCTGTTACTGAACATGCTTAGTTCATGTCCTTGGGGCCTTTGCACGTGCTCTACCCTCCATATGGAATACTCCTGCCCAGCCTATTAGGCCAGCAAC